AGCGGATATTTCGAGTGAGAGACTGTGAATCTTTACTGGTGGAAGATTTCTAATAATTGGATACGACCCAACTGTCAGAACCAATTTACCCTTATTCCCATAAAACGTACATATACGAGATAAAACTGTCGATCATCACATGTAGGTTTGTGTATAGTGACTGAAAGCTGTACCCACCAGCTAACCTCGGCGTGGAAAAGTCTCGAGAGCAAAAACCCAACAAGAGTAATTGTTGACGACGCCAATCAATGGAGTCCTAATCATCTCTGAATCACATTAACACATGGAAACATTGGATACTTTGTAAATTCAAGCCGCGTTCTTTGCACCGCGGTCCCAACAAAAGCGCACCATTTAGTAATCACGTCTAAGACTGGGGGCGGATTCTGCGAGAACCCAATGCTTGAGCTTTTGGGTGACAGGAAAGATGATACCTGTGATGTCTAAGGCGGAGGAGATCCTCCACACTCACTTCGGAGAAACGTTACCCCAGGTCTCGCTTATTCTGATTATATGTCAACCTGGGCTGCAGGGTCTTACCCTTGACATCTGAAGCGGCTCGACTTTACAGCTTCGGCTATGGTGAACTTGCATGAGAATGGGGCACGCTTATCGGTATTCAGCTGTATCTCTGGTCTCCATTTTCCTAGTTAAATATTATCAGCAATACAGTCTTTCCAAGATTAACACCCCATATATGGTCTGTCTTCAAAACTAGCGATTAGACGTTGGGTGTTCGAGTGATACACTATGCAGCAGCAGGCAATGTCAGCATTGAGGTCCACCAACCAGGTTTTCCAACCACATGTAGTTCAGGCGGCCTCCATGGCCAGGACATCATACCTGACAGGAAGAGATACAGGCCGATAGCTTATAAACCACTTCAACACGCTCTTGCATTTTGAATCGACTCGAGTTTGCTATAAAAACTTCAAGATACTTGAATATGGTAATGACCCAGGTTCCACTCATTTGGAGGAGTTTAGCGTATGAGATGCCTAATATCTCTTTTGAAGTAGAATAGCCGAGCCTGATAAAAAGTTTAAAGGCTCTTAGAATCGTATACCGTGGCTCCAGCGAGGGCATCATATGTGGACTTATTGGCATAATGGTCCAAAACCTATTTCTCTTCCTCCGAACCGAGACAGCTTGCTGCAACTCTCGCAGAGCCACCTACAGTAGATCCTCTGCAGCTGGTCTCCGATGCGATATCTTTAGTTCATGTATTCTGGGCTAAAATAGAGATCATCTCCGAAAAGGATTCGACAAAAACCGTCTCCGCCATTCTGAGAATAGCAAAGTGTCACAGGCCGAGAAAGCTGGGCATGATATCAGTGTTTCGATATACTCAACCTCTCAAGGAATGCGCCTACATGATGCTTAATAAGTATTTGATCATTGTATGTTGAAAACCAAATTCAAAACTTAATACAGAAGTAGTGAGCTTTAGCGTGTAGCAGCAGTGGCTGACCTGATATTCATGACTATTTACAGTATTATAATTATACCGTACTAATAGGGCCAAAAAAATAACCGTGGGAGATGTTCTATAGCTATATCCATTTCTAAGAGTTCATTATTACACGCCTCCCCATATTACACCTTCACTTACAGTCTAATACCCCACCCTCCTAGACTCTCATCCCAACCAGCCCAGCCATGTTGTCCATGTCCCCAGTACCACCATTCTCCCTTTGCTTCCCCATACAGCATCCTCGACACACCCACAGGAATTGGCTCTACACACCACACTCCGCCATACCTATACTCATCCACAAAACTACCACTCACGGTCATAAACCACGCGAAGGCCCAAACATAAGGGCACGCTTTTTCGAACACCGGAAAACTCAATCCCGTACGACGGTATAAGCGGAGAACGATTCGCTCGAACGCTATACCAAATGGTTGGAGCATAAAGAAGCGAATTGTTCCCCATCCACCACCGCTCTGGGTAAAGCATCCGGCCCAATGGAGTCCTCCGGACAAGAGAAAGGGGATTGTGAGATTGATCAGCGCGGCGCCGGTGCTGTCTTTCCGGAGGTTGAGCTTGGCGGTCAGAAATTTTGCTGGGGCAATGAATACCTGCTTTTCTATTAGCAGAGGATATTTTTTTCGAAAGGATAGAACCTTTCTTACGTTCTTGAACAGACCATGCCAGGCTGTTCCCCACCACCCGAGTATGCCATTTCCCCAATGCCCCTCACTAAAACCTCCAAATATGTCTGGCCACTCTTTGGCATCTAACCATCGCCTTCTCCAACTGTTCTCTGGCCCCAATCCAAATATACATCCCATTGTAACAGCGATTATTGACAATACCGTATGCGGTGCATTCACAGTTGTATATATTGCCGACCCCATCAACACCGTTCTCATAATCCTCAGTAGCACCTGATACACAACCCTCGCAAGCCCCTCCTCCGGCATATCAGGAAACCCCTTCGGCGGCGGATAGTTCTGTGGTCTACTCGGGCTCGCAAACAGCGAATCATATATCGCAAAGGAGTTAGGCTTATTCTCGTGCGCGTTACCGTCGGGAGCGTAATATCCGATGTCAAGATCCTTCATCATCAAGCAAAGAAAGTCGAGGTAAATCCAAATCCAAAACATCCGTATCGCACGCCGCCGGAAAAACGGTTTCGCCGAGGTCGCATTAACTTCGGTGGCATGGAGTGGAGGGACAGATCGTATTTGCCAGTTCCATCCAACACCACGAAGGTTTTGGGTCAGCTCGACAGCCCAGCCCAGGCGCTCTGACAAGGAGTGTCTTGGGTATCTATCTCCTTTCTCCTCAGGCTGCCCTCTCTTTAGGCGAACGAAATCACGCTGGGGATTGGTGAAGATGAGAAGATTGAAAGCCGTGTAAGTATGTAGGGCAGCATAGGTGCCAACCGCAAACCCGAGAGATGGGTTTGGTGAGGTCGTGTACAGCAGATTGTAATGACATGTGAGTATCGCGGGGAGGAATATGGCAGGTATAACCCATGACCTCGAGTGAATGCAGAGGGCAATCACCAGCAATATCGTTGGAAGGAGGACATTGTGAAGTAGGACAGGACTCCTGAGTGCGATTGAGCTGACCGGAGGAGGTTGTTCGGCTGTTGCCATGGTATTCGGGACTCCTTGGGTTATATCACACTAGACCCTGGCGCATTCAACAAAAGATGGAAGAGAGAGAAAGATGGAGATGGCGCGCGCTGATGTTGAATTTAAGAGAGAGACAAATACATACGTAGAATGAGCATTAGCCTCGCCGCACAGGGCAAACATGAATCATTCTCAGCCGCAGGTACGTAGATCGATGTCTTGCTTCGGGAGATTTCCCATATCAAGCTTACTTATTTCTTTTGGTTGTTGGCCCTACGGGAACACGCATGTAAGTAGCCCATAATTCATTGGAGGCAGTTAGACCCTGAGCGAGTTGTCAGCTAACTAGCCACGTGTGAATGGAAGGGCAAGGCAAAGCAAGGCAGGGTTTAGCGCTCACTAAGGGGGAATCTGTAAGCTGGAGGTACGGACACCAATACTTGCACATATCTGGTTAGAAGTGGAAACATAGGCATGGAATATCACTCGCTCGCTGTTTCGCGGATAAAAACATCTTGAGAAGTTGGTACCAAAGTCTAAGACTGAAATAATAGGATTTAGGCTATGAATAACCCCTGCCGTTTTTCTTGCGGCGATTACAACAACCGGTGGGAACAGTCCCCAGTGTTCAGATTCATGTCGTGATCGAATCTACGCCTCTAGATATCAGAGCCCGAGCGTTCAACGGCTTAATATTCCTCAGTACGCCTCTGCGGCGTAGTAATATGTCGTTGTCTGTAAGGATATGGTCTGATGAATGTTGAAGGTTAGTACGAGCCTATAAAACCTGTAATACAGATGGACCAATAGCTATTATTCAACCTATCAGAACCGACCCATATAACGGCCTCACTCTATTTTTCTAGACCCGATCCAGTTCAGAAATTAAATTAAGAGAGAGATCCATTACATGGTTTCATAATTCAGTAGTTGTCGTCGCACCTCTGGCCTTTTGATAGATATGCCTAAGTCCTAAGATATCGATTCTAAAGCTATCGTCTCCTCAGATCTAAGGGCATCTGAAGAAGGGAATCACCGGTTCGTGGATCTTTACCCCACACTTTGACTTTTGGGATGTCATGGCTTTTGAAACCCTGAGTAAATTCAGTAACAATTTAAAGGTCACGTGAGGCGCAGATGTACGAAGGGGTAGCAGTCTTATATTCCATTAACCCCAAGCCTAGGGCCGACGACAGTACTGCTCCTATAGTATAAGAGGCAGTGCCGGACCAGCTATCAATCACTGAAGCTCAAAAACGAAGAAGAATTTACTTTTCGACTCTTGATTGACATTAGAAACACAGCTCTGCTCCATAGAGTACTTTAACTACCGAATTACACCACCCATTCCCCCCACGCCCATCATGACCATTTTGAACCATGCCAAACCCCCGAACACCTGAAAAATGATAACAGCCAATAAGAAAATACAATGAGTATAAATGCCAAATAGATGCCCTCTAACCCAAACACCGATTTCTAAACCCCCCAATGCAGATATCGATACCAAGATCTAGAAGTAAAAGATGTACCCTCATGAACACCGCCAATGCTAACTAAAGAAAGACTATTGAGAGAAAGCTCGCGAAGAAAGATCATAGTTGAGATTGACAGAAGTAGCTGCCCAACTAGTAAAGAAAAAACAAAAGATTGAATGAAATGAAAAAGACAAAAGAAATCGTAGAGAGCGTACTGGGATGGAAACCCATTTCAAACCAAGGAAAAATAAAATCAAAAAAGCCACGAAAACAAACAAAAGAAGCAATCAACAATAAATGTGGTCCACTAACAAATATACTCCAAACAAAAGAAAAGAAAGGAAGGTAGATGTGAAAATTAAGAGGAAAAAAGAAAAAAATATCGCTGATAGGGAAGAATCCGAAATACCAACGATCTTCCTCCAGGACGTCCTACATATAGAACATCCTGACCTCCTGCGCAGCCCTCTTGCAACCCATATAGTACTCCGCATTGTACATCGCGTAGGCCTTTGGGTTGGAAATCTTGCATTTCAACAACCTTTTTTCACATTCGGCCTCACTCTCGAGAGCTCTTTCAAGATGCTCCCAATTGTGCGGAGCTCTGGTGTCCCAGTCCTCATCCTCCTCGTATCCCATGAGGACATCTTCCCGGAAGTAATACCCATGATTGTCGAAGTCGGCAATCCACCTATCGAGAAAAGTGGAAAGCGGCTTGGTGGTTCTCGGGATGGTCCACCCATCCTTGCGGATGGGCTTCTTATCGGTAATCCTCGGCTTACCCTCGCGGTCAAATTGGCACGGCCAATTGACCTTGTACGAGAGTTTTCTCTTGACTGGAGGGTTGGTAGAGCTCGAGGTATTGGCGGGCGTTTCGCTCGCAGGAGAGGAGGCATTGGTGGTTGTTTCGCTGAGAGGCGAGGAGGCTAGAGAGAGTTAGATAATGGTACATATAAGGAGACTTTAATTGTAACTTACATCTGGTAGTATTGGTGGAATCCATTGTTGAATTGTTTTCGAAGGATTTAAATTGTTTCGAGTGAGTAGGTGTGATCGACCGTAAAATTATCGATACAATGAAGAAAGTAGTTGATGGATGATGAAGAAATTGGTTTCGACGATGGAAAGCAACAGAGAGACGATTTCCCAAGAGTTTAAAAAGGAGGAAGTAGTGTTTTGAAGTGCGTGAGAATATGGGTCTTTGAGAAGCAAAGGACGACTGGATGATTTGGGATGAATTCGAGATGGATTGCTGTACACAAAGTAGCAGAGATGATTGATGATGATAGTGAGGGATAAAGAAAGGGAAGAAGAAGGGAGGAGACAAAACCAAAGCATATAAACAATGAAAAGGCGCTAGGAAAATCCGCCATTTGAAGGGATCTCTTCCCTCCAACGGCGCTAGTCCTGCACACGACATGCTATTCTTTCTATACTGGAGCAAAAGGAGTACGCTACTACCGGACGGATTCAGCGTAGACTTAAACACTCTTGATCAATTGAAATAGCACCGCTCTTTTTTCATTACCTGCGTTTTTTCTTTGCAGTCCACGGAGCTTATATAGAAAGCATCTACCCCTCGCGTGAAGAGCGCTTTGTTCCCTGAGGAGTGCGTGCTCGATTCGTTTGTTTACCTCTCGACGTCACATACATATCTTACCCCCGTAAAACAAAAGAACTTACAGAAAACAAGCAAATCCCATAAAACAAACGAATCTAAAGAAGGAAAGAAACCCGTAATCGTGAGGATCTTCTAGACTTCCACATGCACAATCCCCTAAGCGAGATCTGACTTTCCAATTGTGCCTGTGAGCGGATCGCTCAAAGGATGGGTCGGCGCGCGGCACGTAGAAAAGCTTAATTCTACCTCCCTTTGTATTTTTCCACGTAATTATCACACCACTATGTACCCAACCAAAAGTTTCGCTTTCTATCCGTCCGTTCTTTCTTTCTATCCGTCCGTTTCTTCGTTCTGTGTATCCATCTGTTTTTTCGTTCTATGTATCTGTCTGTTTTTTCGTTCTATCCATCTGTTTTCTCATTCGGTTTTTCTCTCGAGTCTATTCAATGAAATAAAATAGTCTAAGCAGTCAATTGCAAGTTCAACAATACAGCACGATCATGCATACAGAAAACAAAACTTTTGCGGGGGCCAACTTGCAACAATCCAACAGATCACTCACTCGATCAATCCACTCTTTCCCTACGTCATACTACATTGTAACGCCTGCCCTTCCTGTAAGCATCGTGCAAACGCCAACCGTGAAACAGCAAGCAGAATTCGAACACTGCTCGTACCCCTCCATGAGAACAAAAACAGCACATATCACATCCCGAAGCCCATAAATTCCCGCATTGACACTTCTTCCACCCGCACAGACCACCCCCCCACCCACAGCTCTACAGAAAGGATGATTGCCGACGCCAATGCTCACAGTAATGGTGGAGACGGTTGCATTGAGGCCCGTCAATCGCCGTGATGCGTGTTTTTGTGCAAAAGATGCTAGTGCCTGCCATGTCACGTGCCTGCGAGTGAGTGGCTGTGAATTGAGCATAAATAGAATGGAAGCAACGAAGGTTGAGAACAGAGGGTAGTAAACAATGCCCTCGCTGTTACGGCAACACGGGGCTCAGGAGGAGGACTGGTATCTCTTGCACACTGGACACCCAAGTCACTGCACCCCCAACTCTATAGACGTACGGTACCAACACAATCGCTACTCCGTTTTCACACACACAGACGGTACATAGCGGACAAAAACAACAAACCTATCACCATAGCAACCCTCCCCCCACTCCACCACAACCCACAACACCCGGACCGTGCCAACTTTCCACATACACATCTCTACATAACCCGTGCACAACCCCGCCATCCGACGAAACCCCAGCAACGATAGAAGCCTACTGAAAGATATCGCTCCAGCAACTGATACCATTTCTTCCTATGAAGTGTTTTGTTTTCCAGATGTCTTGCTTCTGCAAAAAATATATGTATAAAAACTTCTACCTCAACATCATATCCACACCGAGTGATACCCCATGATCCACCCCCACCATCACCCACCAACCCAACCCAACCCAACCCTCCCATCCAAACAGCCCGAACGTCACACCGCCCAGCCCAGAATTCTAGAACCGTCCCAAAACGCAAAATGCAAAATGTCCCGTGATCTTGTCTCACCACAATCACATGCAGGACAACGACAACAGCACACACACTGAAAAGTTGAAACCAGGCTGCAGGCACATGTTGTTTTGAGCACCTAGAGCGAATTTCTGCCCTCTCACAGAGTACTCGCGGCAGGTAACAATTACCCGAAAATGCGCGTCCTAATCTGCAATTTCCATTGGAGTAGAAGTCAAAAATACACCAAAACTTGCAGCTGCATATTCGGGTACTTCATGCCTGCCGCGAGTACCTCTGTATATTCTTTTTTTTGTTTCCTTTTTGTTTGGCGCTGTATATAGATATGTAGATCTCCATGCGTCCCTGGGAATAGTGCTTGTAGGATATATAGATAGGGATTTGAAATTCCTGCTATGTAGGTAACTAACTTTTCTACTCGATACGCCTTCCAAAGAAAAGAACCAAGCCCCTCCTCCCCTCCACCGCCGCCTACAATATAACGCACACAAGACACAAGACACACAAGCTAGCTCTGGTAGGATCGGATATGATAGGATATAGTACAAAAATAGGGAGAAAACCCACTATGGTATCATTCACCATATGGGAGGATCAGAGCATCATCAGAAAAGGAAAAACCAACCCTAAAAAAAAGCGGAAGAAAAAACGACGCTAAAAGAAGCCCCACCAGAAAAAAACGCACGCGCAAACCCAGACAAAAACAGTGAAAGAAAATGCGTAAATTCCCCTTCTCATGATATCTACCTCAGATCGGCGCCTCTATACGTGTAGTCCATATCGATGGGCGAGATCGGCATGTCCAGACCGACATGCGGGGGTGTATTCCCGATCCTTGTGCCCGCCGGCGGGATCCTCCCCTGCTGGCCGCTAATGTCGTAAGGCTCCCTGCCTTCACCCCACGGTACTGGGTTCCCGGGGTGAGCCTCATAGCCGTCGTAAGAGCCGATTGAAGCGGTGCGGTTATGGGACGAGTTAGAGGCGCTGATGGGGCGGTGGGAGGTATTGTCGTATGCGCTGACCGGACGGTGGGATTGGCCGTCTTCCTCGTCGTCGTCGCGGTTCTTGTTGATGAGCGCGTACTCGTCGTTAGAGCTGAAGGCATCCTTGGTAGTTTCTTGGATGTCGTGGCTGGGGTCCGTGAGGTCTTCAAACGGCGAGCATGAGTGCTGGCGGAAATACCAAGCTGCGTAACCGGCGATTGCGGTGGTGCCGAGCCAGAGGAACCTGTGATCTTCGTTAGCTTGGCGTGGTCGCTAAGGTGGTGGGGTGTGTGTGTGATGGTTACAAAATTACATACCACATGATAACACCCAGTCCGACAGCGGTCTTGTTCATAGTGCATGCCTTCTCGGCCTCACCAGTTCCTGCGGGGAAGAGTGCACACCCGCCCTTGGCCTTTATTTTGTCGTCCTTTTCCTTCTTCTCGCCGTCGGAGATGCCGCCATTTGTGTATGAAGCGACAGAGACGAATGCCGCGAACCAGAGAAGCTGTTTTTTTTAGTGTTAGAAATCGTAGTCTGTAAGGGGAGATATGTAGATATGACAAAGCAAGGGCGCGGGGCGACCTACAGATATCATGGAATTCACACCGATAACCCAGTACGGATGCGCGATCATCTGGGTCCTAGCAAATCTCGGAGCTTGCGTAAGATAGATAAGACACGGTATCATCAACCAGCACTACCGGAGAAAACCATCAGCGATTCATTCCCGAGAAGTAAAAATTTGGCTTAGACAGAAAACTGACCATGGTGAACATGTATTTCGCGGCACCGCTGGCTGGGCCGTCCGCGACCAGACTGGACATTAGGATCCCCATCAGTACGACGGCCCATATCGCTTGCACGATATGGATGATCATGTTTGCCTTCTTGAGGATGCCCACGTTCACCATCTTGAATGTTTGTGTATTGTGCTATCCCTCCTGTGAGTTTCGGTGATATGTTGTTGTTGCGGCTGAAAGGGCCCGTAGTGTAGTTAGTGGGTTGGGTTGGGGGGGGGGGGGGGGGGTGTGACGTCGGATTCCGGGCTGACTAGCGGGGTCGGAGTCTGTGAGTCGTCGTCGTCTTTCACTTCGCAACGTCTCGCGATGTGATGGTGATGATTACGGTTTGTAGATGGAGAGAAGGGGAGGAAAGAAGAGGAAAGAAGAGAAGGGAAAGGAAGGGGGGGGGGGGTGTGAGGGAGAGGAATGAATCTAATTAATGTTGTTCAGGTGCATGAGGAGACATAGAATCAAGCCACAATAAATGGACTACTGTATCTCTGCTGGTTTCCTGTCAGCCTGCAGCCAGCCTCAGCTGTGGAGAGAGACTTGGGGACAGAGGGCACCTTCGTGCTACTACTGCATTTGTTGATATCATGTTACTGTAACAACGCCCAGCCCAGGACGGGGATTATGTATTCGCAACGGGCTGCTGCTGCTACTGCCTGCACAGCCATCAGCCCTGGCTAGTGTTGATTGATGAATCTCGTAGAAGGCAGGCAGGGGAGTATCTACGGGGCGGATGGACGCTGGTGTTACAGGGGGGAGGGGGGAGGGGCTGTGGTGCAGATTGAACGGTTCCCTCCTCCTCGGTCGACATCATCAAGAATCGAAACCACCGCCGCAAACAACGTAACTGCTGGATCTCGGCGTGGGTTGTGGTTTGCTCTTGCCGTGAGTGCCGTCCTCACCACAGGGATACCTGTCATAAAACGGAAACCCGTCATCCTCTCACCCTGTGATTTCGGGATATACATACAATGTCATCATGGCAGTCGTCGTGTCCCTTTCCCTGCGCCCTTCCTCTCCTTCCTTGGCTTAGGGCTGAGTGGTAGGGAATCTCAGTGACTTCGAGTCCTCGAGACAA